TTAATATCATAAATAACATATATTATACCCGGCTGAAGCTGGCATTGCTGAGAAAATAAAATCGTCAAGATGTCTACATAACTAATCGGACACATCCGTGCTAAAAAATTGCAACGGCAACTTGCCCCTGAGCCATTTTTTTAGCGTACAAGTTATAGCCGTAACCTTCATTCGTTACCACTAGCAGTCAGTACGGATTATAACTTCTGTAAAAACTCTCTTCTATGAGGGTTTTCAGTGCAGCCAAGATGATAATTACAGCTATGAAACCACAGGGACAGCTTGGGTAGACTGAAAATTACGCCTCGGATAAGTCATGAAGTTTAGTAATGATCTGGAAGACAGAAGTACAGAAGTGATTGTACAACTGAATGTGGTTCAACCCTAGGCATTAAAAAGTGTACATTTACGAAGGACAGGATTGACAAACACACAATGAACTTGCATTCCTGTTATTCTTCAACCAGCGGCTCTCTTATCATATCTTGACAAAAGAACGGTTCTTTTATTTGGAAGAATATACTCTGTCTCACTTTGTTACAGCAGAACTCGAAAACTATTGTTCGTCAGTCTTTAAAAAATGTCACTTCAAGTAGATTTGTTAACACACGAACGATATAGTATGTAGCTTAGGGTAATACAGAAGACAGGTCTCCATGTTTCCCACAAGTACTGAACTGAAGACACCACACCGAAATTTTTCACTGAATCGGTGAAAGTTAATGGCAATGTTCTCTGTTAATCATTTCAAGGTTTAGTAACATTAAGTGTGAGCCAAAAATCTCCTCTTCCGGGTCCATCAGTGGAAATTTATGTACTTAATGACCGTAAAATGTTAATCTGAGTAAACCGATTGCTTACAGGTACTGATGGAACAGTTTTCGAATTAGTGTGATTTACCAGAGGAATCAGAGGTGTAATTCGAGAATGGGGTGCAATGCATTTTCATTTATTTGCGTAAATTAAATTTGGATAAGAATTCACTCCCAACTTTCCACAACAACTCAGTCAAAAGTTTCCCGCTGAGATTCATCGCATCTAAAATACATGGGATATCCATGTTTCAACAAGACAATGCGGCGTCATAAGCGAATAAAATTCGATTCATGTGGATATCAAACTTCGAAATGCCCGTTGTACATTCTTTATTTCAATAACATCTGCCTACATCTGGAACTTATCAGGTCGATAAGTACACAGAAAGTTTACAGTTTGGAATTCGAATTCTAAAGAATGAGGTAAGATAAGTTGTTCACTTTGTAATCCACGGGGCCCAGACAGTGAAACAGTGGTTAGTACAAAACGGACGAAACACATCTGTTGTATAAGGTGCAGCTTCGCCTGTCAATAGTATAACAACACAAGTTGTGTAGAAACTGAAGGGTAGTTCTCAATGCTAAGAAGACCGGGAGCTGAAAGCGACTACTGAAAACGGGTACATACACCATACGGGACATGTCACCGCAGAGAGTGACGATGCACAACCGCCAACGGGTGTGGATACACGTCAGTCATGCGAAGTACGGTTTGGTGTCAGTGGTAGTGTTTTCACATACCTTGTAATGGATAGTTGACAATAAACAGCTGTAGCTTGTGATCACAGCACACCTTATTCACTCCCTCTGAAGTCACGTTAACTTGGTTGTTTTTACTTGCTTTACATGAGCATATTTGATAAACATGATTAGACAATTTTGATAAGTCTGCGACGTAATGAACTTGTGTATTCTTACTAGTCATTAGTTCCAGCAATCGTGTACAAAAACGTCATGCGAAACGTTACGGGAACATTTATACACATATTGGTCGTAAATTAGTTCAGACACCGTGTCTAGTGGCAATGAATTAACTAATGTGAAATGACCCAATCTTTTCAAACCTCATATTCCTTATTGTGCCTGACAGCTTTTTATGGCATTCAGGTTGTCAATGAAGGATGGCTGGTCATCAGTCATTTCCATCATAGGTTTTGCTTCGCCTCAACCAAAGAATCATTTGCAGTGTTGCAGATCTTAATTGGTTGCACCAATTTAACGGTTTTATTGGCTTTCATAAATAATTGTGAGTTTTGTTCAAGACTATACTGGGCTGCAACACTAACAAGCATCCTCAACGCAGCCTAGCGAGCTTTCAGGTAAACCATATGAACACGGTGTTTGTTCATGTATCATATCTGCATATATCAAAAGATTCAAGGTTGTGCACCAAAAGGAGAGCTACCCTTGATTTTTTACTCGGTGAATTAATTGTGTAGGATATGCTTGTAAAAGCATAAAAAATTCGGGGGGATAAGAAAATGGGTAGGCAGAAAATGACTGGTTTAGAACCGCCATTAGAAAACAGCGAAGCAAACTGAAGTTGCATTCTCAGATATTGCATATGGGAGAAGAATAAGATAGGTCCAAGAATGTCTTAGTACAAGTTAACCTCTACAAAAGTGCCGAACAGCACGGTCCAAAAACTCTCAACCCATTCTGCCCGATCCACAGAGTTTGGCAGTGCGTTTCAGTACGGATAAAACCTAACTGTAAAGCGTTCCGTATGCATTTCAGCTCATCACTGATATTCAGTCAGACACTGACTAAAAAATACTGACTCTCTAATAGCAATTTCTTTCAAAAATCTAAATAAAAGTTCGTCGTTTCTTACTTAATTTAATACCAACAGTTTGGCTGCTAAATCTGTTCGAATTAACGATGGAAGTTCATAAAATTACTTATCACTAATAACTGTGTCGTATTAAACTGAACTACTTTTGCTCGAGTTACTTGCACTTCTAAATGCAATATTCCCAACAATCCTAAACATTTCAAATTTGAATGCTTTATTTCATAACGGTTTACTTTAACTCTGAGGAAATGTTGCCCTGGGTGATGCACCAACTAGTTTATGTACAACAGAGGTATTTGTAAGTCCCACAGTTAAACCGGTGGAACAATAGGAAACTGGTTGTGTGTACCAGTGTATGTCCTCAGATTGTATTCCATTAGTTTAGTTTGTTCTAGATTACACTCTGGTGTACACAGTAATTACATTGATCCGAAGAAAGGGCATTATGACACTTTTCAGGTACATATGCAACAGTACACACATTACGTTCTCTGGCTAGTCCAACAATTACCATTGTTTATTCGAAATGTGATTAAAACAAGTTAGAATAGTTGCGTCCAGTTCGTTAACTAAACGGAGGATATTACAGACCGCGCGTTCACACAATGTTTATCTAACAAGAGTGCACGCCCTCACTTGCACCAGTAACTTGTTTCCTCATACTATGGTAAACCTATTGTGCGGCTAACCTAGTAATAATCGTCTGATGGAAAATCAGTTAAGTCCGTTCAATTGTCAAACTGATTTCATACGTACCTTTGAAATCACCTAATCCCTGATAATTCAAAAGTAAAATCATTTAAAAATCGTCTGTATTTTACAGAAGTTCAAATCACGTCTTCTAAAATGTGACCATGGAACAACAGGTATTTGCAGTGCTTCGTAAGAATCCACATACACATAAACAACGTCGCGGCGATTAGTCCATAAGTGCCGAAATCGGACTCGGAGACAAATAATCCCTACATTTTGGTTCGTGGAAAATAAAAAGGGAAGAAGTGTTAATCAAATTTCCGATAACAGTTTGTCCTAATCAACTGCATCTTTTTGCAACCTATATGTGATATGCATGTATTTTTTCGCAAAATTTTAATTAGGGAATAAACGCTGAGAAACGAACTTTCAGGGTGAATCCCCAGTTCTAAATTTGTGGCTTTCTATTCAAACGTTGTACGGTAAATTATGATGTTACCAGACACAGTATAACCCGCTCCTTACTTAATCTCTGGTCAACGGTTCCAATCCAACATAGGCCTTTTAGATTAACAAATTTACCACAATACTTATCACAAACCCCAGTTATCGATGTGGCTTATCTGTAAGGTACAAACTACGAATCTTTTGTTTCACAATGTCGCAAGCTAGTATAATAATGCTGACAACCAGATTATAACAATGGCAAATATATCAAACCATGTTCATCTACTGGTGACGGGGTGGATGATATTGCTAGTCTACTACACAGAAAGTATCAGCATTAATTCTTAGCCCTTCAGTGCGAGTGTCGGTAGAAGAATTGGCACCCACAGTATCCGTTACTTGGAGAAGAAGAAACCAAGTTGCTTAAAGTTGATCATTTTACTTCATAGTCTGAATACGAAGATGTTTTCAACGGAGGACACAGGCGTTGGATAAAAGAGGATGGAGGCAACCGCAACCGGTTAGACTGCCCTCATCTAACAGAAAACTGTATGCTGGTTGCAGTCTAGTAGACATCCAGTTTTCCCGCAGTTTATCCCCGCGCAAATTAACGAATCTCCCAAACTACTTGCCAGTGATAGCCGCTCTTTTCGGAGTTAATTCATGGTTTGTGCTGTTTTGTTGTTCAGCTGCACACTGTGCTCCCGATACACCAATAAGTCAAACGGAGCAGTGACTGATACGACGGGTTAGTGTAAAACTTGATTACTGGGAGAGTGAATAAAAAGAGCCGACCTTTATATTCCAGTCGATCGCCATTATATTGGCTTTGATAGGCAGCATGCCGAGCTCAATTCGATTGAGCCGATTCAAATGAAACGTTGGCCAGTTAACTAGGCTTTAATTAGTAGATGTCACGTTATCAATAGTAATAAACAGTAATAAGAACTGTTTCGCTTGTTCTTTGTAAGCGCACTTTCAGCCTGCATACACATAAAAGCACAACAATTGCCAGTGAGAGTCGTGTAATTTTCACGTCAGATCCAAGCTAGCTAACTAGCATCAACTGCTTCTGTCCATTTTTTCTTTAACAGCTTATTGGTTAATCTGTTTGATGTAAATTGTATCAAACTGTCGGTGACCATTGCTTTGATCACACTGCACTATTGGTTGTTATTACTGATACTGAATTACTGATAAGTAGTTTGACAGACCTGATAGTTTAGAAGAGACCTGTCTGTGAAAAATTTGGACTTCGGCTGGATTCGAACCAGCAATCGGAACAGCATGCCCAAACACGGCATATGCTCTACCAGCTGAGCTACGAGGCCACGCCAGAAGCTCGGAAATGTCACATTTGGACCTAGTTACCCAGCCAACCGACTATTTATCAGTAACTCATTGTCAATGCTCATCGATGACGTTGGTGGATTCCAAGGTGAACTGATCGTAACATTCTGCTTGGGCAGTCAACCGGCTGGATCATTTGGCGGATTCCATATGACACAGATGGTTGGGTGGGTAACTAGGTCCACGTGTGAAATTTCTGAGCTTCCGGCGGGGCTTCATAGTTCAACTGGTAGGACATTTTTCGCGATTGGGCATGTTGTTTCTGTCGCTGGTTCGAATCTAGCCAAAGTCCAGATTTTTCGCAAATGGATCTCTTCTAAACTATTGGTATTATTATGAGTGTTAGTATTATTGTCTTCTTGTGACGTAATTAGCTTACATGCTCATTCCTTAAAAGTCGCACAACTTCTAAAGCAGTGCACTCATATGACGTCTAAATTTGCCTCTCAGGAGACGGATCAAAATCAGTTATTGCGATAAAATAGAACAAACCAAACCTGATTTATTTTATTTCATCCAGAACAATGCATTGCGTACCCGCAGCAAACACTCTGTGAACAATGATTGGCTATCAATTTCAATTAAATCGTATCAAGAACGACTGGGTCCCTAGCGCGTTTGGCTTAGTCAGCCTACCTTTAGACTTGTTAACACTTCATTATCAGCGATATAAATGAGGTGGTTTTACCTACTAAATATCTACACTGTTGACTAGCTACCCGCCTGTATCCCAAAACCTGAATCATCTGATTACTGTTTTCAAATCAGTTTCGTAATAAATATCTACCCATTTATGCCAGTAAACTTACCCCTATCTTCTTTTAGACATCGCATAATCTCCTTCTGTAACATCAATTTAAACAAGAGAAGCTGGTAAATGGGCTAATATGTCACCGTCGAGTAGGCTCAGTTTTGTTAAGCCTCGATTTCTATATAAAAAATCAAACTCCGAGCTAAAGACAACGAAGGGCCTGCAGATACGGTCGACCTTCAGATCCAAGTTTTCCGCCTAGGTTTCTAATGGATTAGATTGCCAGTTCGGCGCATCCCTTATTTTAGCACCTTCCTGAGGAAGCACACTCTTACTGTCCTGGGTAGGCCATTTTATCAGAACCAGCTAAGCAAAAGGACAGACACAGAGATATAAGGGTCTGACATGCGGGGCAACTTTGCACAGATGACTACTTATATCGCTTGCTAACTAATTTCTGGCGTGGTGTGCGATGTGATACAGAGGTATCAGTGCTCAAGACATCTAGGTTCGTGAGATATTGGTGACAATAATGAACGACTTGTTCATAGCAAGCGTCAGATCTGTTAGGTGCGCCATGTTATCTGAACCGGTTTACTGAGAGTTGAGTGCAAAAATAATGAGCGTCCGACCCCTAAGGTGTGCGTAAACCAGTGCCGCTTTCTGCTTCCTTTAGAGTGACTGAACGAGTGATCGATAATGAGAAAGACTATGAATAATTTTATCGAATAAATCTACAGTGGTTCGACTACAACCACTAGTCGAAGCAAACACTTAGTAGACTTCGTTCAGTTACCTGTACAATGTCAACGGTGCCGTGATCCACCTTGTCTCGCCATCGTTCATGGATTCAGTAAATAAAATAACTAGCCACCCTTAGGCATCTGAAAGTGACGCCGCAGATCAAGCCGTGGATGATGAACAAACGATATGTGCAATCGGAAGCGCATGACTAGCCCGTAAGCCAGGTGCTCAAATTTTATTCTGGCTCCAGCTTCTACTACTACTCTCGACGTACTTCACTGGTTAATGTCTTACCTATTTTAATAACCCCGAAACAATAGGTTTTGTCCGTTGAGACCAGGCTGGATGTCAACACGTGTCAACCTCGAACGAACATTTATAGTCTCACTCCATTTTTTGCGCTTTTGACTAAGGTCAGCTCCTATCGAAAGACGATGACTCGTTTGTCGCCGCACTGTCACACAAGTACTATCAGACTAAAACCAAGTTAACAATGTAACAAACTTTCTGTCCACTCTACTCCAAAGAAATTGTTTCCCAGTCTGAACAATGTAACCACGTGGACGGACAGCTCACATTATGTCCCGATATTCCCGCTTTCGGGAGTTCGCTACTAATGTGGTAGTGAAAACAAAGCCGTCGTGGGCCGATGCTGCTCAAAACGGTTGCTAGGCACATGATTCCTGCAGAACAATAGATTGGAAATAATGGCACGTTTGCTAAGTTATTGTTTGTTTCCGTGCGCAACCGTACTATATCGGAAAAGATCAGTCTGAATGATGTATCAGCAACACAGTGTTGTTTGAACAACGGAAATGATTTGCGAGACTGACGTGCCAGTCAGCTGTACATCTCGAGAAATTTGAAAATAAGCCCTGCAATGAATGTGAGCATAACTGTGCGTGCTCAGTCAAAAAGCACTGTGGACAAATTCCAAAACATTTCTACTAGTGACTATTGTGTAGTATTCCATCTCAGAATTCACTTATTTTGCCTGTTTTCTGAAACCAAATTACCTTAATAAAATATTACTTGTGTTGAAAACCCACACCGAATATAAAGCATTACCGAAACAGTCTTATGGAGCCTATCGAGTTATAGCGTTAACCATGAAGCTTACAATTTTACGGGTGTATTCTTTGTAATTCCCACTGTCCGAGTGCAACTTATATTTGAGACACTTCATCGGTTTGTGATAATAATCACTTGTCTGAAAACGAATGCCTACATTACAATTCCATCTGATTTCGAAACTTACTATCGTCAATTCGTAAAACGCCAGATTTTCATAACTGTTGCTCTAATCGACCTAATTCACAGCTCTGTATCTAGCGCAAGTTATATAAGATACCTCAACAAGTCCTACTAACCTTTACTGATCGACACCACGGCATCTGGCCTCACCTGTAACCTACCACTGCTAAACTTGTTAAGTAAATCAACATTTCTGGCATTCCTTTTCACCACTTTCGTGTTACGTTCGTTAACCATTGTTTTCGTGAAACTTTTCTCTATGTATTCAAATGACATATTTTTACGGAAAACAACTAGCATCAATTCGCCGCACTTACGACATTCTTAACTCACAACTTTATCAGAGATATGTTGCATTTATGCTTTTATTCTTCAGCAAACCTGTATCCGGTTCAGACAAAGCATGATCTTTCTGTAACTGTCCTATATTTTTGTTCGCAAGTACTTCCTATTTTCTCATCCCACGGTTTATACACAGTACAAAATATATTATCGCTTGGTTAATAAGACGGTGAGCATCTTAACTTCACAATTACATTGCAACAAAAAATTCACTTTTTGATTCACCACACAGCCAGATATTTGGCTGGATACAGATATTATATAAGTGCCTAATATTCAAATAACTATGTTCATGATAAGGTCACTAGCTCTGAGTATATTTGTGTGAATTTTGAACTGAAAAGGCTTGTTTTTAGCACATTTAATCGGCCGGTGAATGTGAACAGGCCTTTCTCTTCATAATGATCTTGGATTCTTAAGTTGAAAGGTAATTGTTCCAAAAGTATCAACCAGTGTTCCATCTAATTTGTGGTGTAAAACAGACCCGGGATTCAAATACGTCGAAGTTCAGTAAGCTTGCTGGTGGCAGTTGTATGGATTGTTCAAAGCCCAAATCAGCAGTATTACACACAACAGCAGAAAGCAAGCGGACACTTGCTAAAGAATCACGATCCAGCCGGACAGAAATTGCACGGCAGTATAAACGCTAACTAATGTTCGTCTGAGACAGAATCGGACAATAAAGCACACGAATGATCAAAGAAACTTCGACGAATAATGGGCCAGAAATCCAACCTAAATGTTTATCAATTTGAGTGCTCAGCATCATCGAAAAACTGCTCATTACAAACTGTGGACGAAGGGTAGAATGCGCACACGCACATCATTGCGCACGAATTCCATGGTTTCTGCTTGTCAAAACCGAATGAAGCGAACAGGTTACGATTTAGAAGTGAAGTTTCATTTTAGGACGCATCAATTCACAGAATACAAACAAACTGATTCAGAGTGCCAGATCCACGTTAAACAAAATAATTACATCGTGTTTTATCTTAATCTTTTGAAGCAGTCTGCTGCGTACACTGTTCATTTTCTGCATGGTAGCTGTCCATCTTAAACACTTAACGAACATTTTTTGACCATTACCAACTTTTCTGATTACGATCATATTGTACTACTTACATTTGGCCTTGTGTCTTAGAATCCACATTTTAAAAAAAGCATTTTGTTTTATATGGTGATTTTCTGAGCCATCACACTTGGCAAACTGGTTTCCCTGAATTGTGTACTTGATTTGAAAACTAGTTAACATCGATAATTGAGACCGGTGTGAAGAAAATCCGATTGGAATTGTTATGAATTTCAGCGAAATTCGCCGACCGAGTCCTTGTACCTATTAAGCAGACTACAAATGAAGACCTAAATATTCTCACGATCTTAGAAAACTCTTCCATTGGCAAAGATCTGAAAGCGAACTGTAGCTTACAGTACACAGGGACAGAAGTAAATTGATACACAAACCTCAGGTGGAGTTTGTTTTGTTCCGTAAATAAAATTCAAACAAATCCGAAAGATATATGTAAAAAGCTATGAAATATCCACCAAAGGACTGGAATGTCTACCGGTAACAGATGTCGATCAGTCTAAATATACAAGTATTTCCAGAATATACTACGAAGCGTGCTGTTCTTCTTTTCAGGGAAGTTATTCTTGGTTAAGCTGATTTTTAAGTCAATAGGCTAATCCGATCAAAAAAATTGAAATCTACCACCTTCTCGTGAACATATCTGCAAACTCATGAATATTATTTGCCAACGGTAATGCGACTTGCAACCATTTTCTGAAAGTTATACCGAAATTGTATTAAAATATTATTATTATTATTTAAATAGCACACTAAAACTACATCAAAAATCATATTGAACCGAAAGAAAATTGGGAAGTGTTATG